CCGCCGCCGTCCGCTTCATCCGCTATCATTGTTGTTGTGGCTCTACCTCTGTAGCCGCCACCCATGTCATCACCGGCGAGGACTCTTCCACCACCGGCCACCGCCTCTGCCATCATCTCCACCACCACCACCGCCATGGGCGCTACCGGTGGTTTCATCCACCATCTATCATGGCAAATCTCTAATCTAACCTCTGATTTGGCATGACTATCATAGGAGTGTCATCTTGCTGTTAGATTGCCATCTTGATAACATCATTGCCATCATGACAGAAATAAGATGTCATTTTCAGATTAAAAAACATAGCACCACTGTTTTTCCATAAAAGTTACATATTACCATCTTTGTAGCGTTAGTGCCGTTTAGTGCCATAAAAATGGCACTAAGTGCTGAAATAATATTCTCACATAGAAAATATGACATTATTAGTATTGCATTGCGAATGAGTAATATTTTCATTAATGCCACAGAAATTATAAAAGTAATATCAAAAGTTACAGAAAATTGATCGAAATTCATGTCAAAAATTATAATCTTACTTTAAAAGATAAAATAAATTGGTAAAAGAATAAAAGGTGAAAGAAAAATTGAAAGACAATATGAAACCAAACCTTTGGACGCGTTTCAATTCTCCCTCCCCACCCCCTCCAGATTTGAATCAATCAATTTATTTCTTACTTTGATCTCATTTTCTCTTTCAAATTTTCTTTCAAGATCTGAAAAAGAAGAGGCAGAAGAAGAAGGGGAGGTCGGCCGGAGAACAAGAAGGGAATCAAAACATATGTACACAGTTGCTACCACCCGCCGGTGGTAGGACTTGAGAAGAACAAATCGACGTCCAAACCTTTGTAATCCGCCAGAGATGGGTGAACTTATTAGACCTGTCAGAAATATGGAGTTATTTGAAAGGATGATATATAGTAGAGGATGAGTTGCGGGGAGAAGAATAAATGAAGAAGGAAGAGGAGAGAGGGAGATGAAAAGTTGGTGCCTGAAAGTGAGATGAAGCCGGAAGAAAAAAGAAGGAGAAATGATAGGAGAGAGAAGAAAAGTTGGTGTGTGACAGAAGGGTTTTTGCGAGAAAGCAGGGGTAGGAAGGGAATAAAATAATAGAAGCTCATATTTGCGGAATAAAAAAGATGAGTTCCTCCTTTAAAAAAAAGATGAATTCCTATTTTTGTACAATTGACATGTTTTACTCCTATATATGTAAATTACTTAAAGATTATATATGTCATTAAAGACTTTAAAACAACCATGAATCAAAGATCTTAATTAATGACAAGAAAGGAGATTTATAAGACACTACCACAAATATTATCTTTAAGGAGTATATGACGTACGCACGGAGTATATGTTATCTATAGTACTAATTAATAAATACTATCTCTACAAGTGGCTCAGTTGGTTGAGTGATGGAAATTTGGAACAATGACCAATGTTCGAAACCTGCAGCGCCCATGTGGAAGTTACAGCTCCTGCTTGCTAGACTAGACCTCTGGTGCGCACGGGTATAAAGTCTACAACCATTGAACCGAATGAGTCATTGTGACTTACATCATCTCATATGTTTTGTCAGGTCATGGCATGAGGGACCCTTGGGGTTGATGATTCAATCTCTTGGAACAACAATTAATAAATAATAGTAACAAATTCTAATGAACACTGTCAAATAGTTTTCTCTACTACTGAGTATTTCTTACATTTAATATTTATTGTATGGACTTATACATAATGGTATGAACTTATTATACACTAGTATTTGATTTTTTTGGGAAGAAGGTGACTTATATTAATAAGAAAAGAACGTAAGCAGGATACAAACAGACAAGAGCCCATTATCTACCGTGATGGAGTTATGGGACTAGGCCCAGAGCCTAATCAGCCCAAGCCCCGAACTTGGACCCGTGGATCCAGGTCCACAAACTGGAGCCTGCCTACCATCCCAACGGGGAGCCTGCCAGTCCGGCCGACCTGCCAGCCAGGAAAAGTAATGGTCAAGCAATTAATGCGCTGTTTAATTATGTATTTAATTCTGTATTAATGTTGTAATTAATTAGTCATTATTAGCGAATAACAGTTACAATTTGTATACGCCTATAAAAGGCATGTTGTAATTCAGATTAGGGAGAACAATTTCTACAGGCTATTTCTGGCTATCAAACTCTCTAGCTACTTTCCATATTCGTATTGCTTACTACTTTCCTGCTTGAGTACTCTTTCGTAGCTTTCCTAAAGGCCTACGAGCGTCCTATTTTGGACCAACATACCGTCCGCCCTCGAACCAGACTTAGAACCTGCCACCTCAAAAGAAACAGCCAGATTCGTTGATCCTGAATCGGACTTCATTACTGTCCTATTCATTACTCCTGTTTCGCTGCTTCTTGCCCTTACCTCCTCAAACTTCGACCCTTCCCCTTTTTCCTGAGCCTTGTTCTGCATATAATCCTGGCCTTGTTCCTGCTTGTCATTGGGGTTCTTTTGCATGCCCATCTGGCCTCTTCCTAACCCTCCCTTGCTAACTAACCATTTATTTCCCATAGAAGGACGAGGTATCCTTCCTCCCGCTCATAGCCATGGTCCAAAGGATCTTACAATCACTTTATCACCTTTCTCATATAGTAATGGAAGAACTTTTCAACATGTCCTATGACTCCACAGGCAAAGCAGAAGTTAGGTAGTTTCTCATATTTGAAGTCTACCCAATACCCTTCCCCTTTACCCCTTTTCAAATTTGTACCCACCTTTAAGGTATTCCTCACATCTAGCTTGACCCTAACCCTCATATAGGCTTCCCACTTCTCATTAAACTGCTTATCATCCCAGGAAATAAATTTATCCAAGTAGTTCCCAATTTTACGAGCATTTCCCAGATTTGAAAATCCATAAGGGATATTATGCACCTGTACCCAAAAATCAGCCATATCTAGGGGAACCTTCAGGGGCATATCACCTGCTTAATGACTTTTAAAACTAACAGGTTCTGGTCAAACAACCAAGGTCCATTATTCAACACACAATTCATATCAATTATGTGGTAAAATGTAAACAGATACCTCTTCTCCCCCATCTCTTGAATCAGAACTCCTATGCCCCGGGCACCACAAAGACGCCATCAGATCATGAAAGAATTGAAACTTCACCACTTTGTCCGTGAGGATTGTACCTACCACAGGGAAGACTTCCACCGCTTTGTTCGCTGCCTCGGGATCATTCTCCGCATCATCCCGCAGCGATTCCACCTCCAAATGCCCCAACCACATCCCATCGTAATGACCTATAAAGGACTCCACGCTTCCTTCACCGACTACCACCGAAGGATCTCCCTCCTCGTCATTGAGAGCCCCCTCCGTTTGAGAGTTCACTCCACCGCTCCCCAGCATATTCGCCTGCGGAATTGCCTCCACCGCGCTGCTAGCCGTCCGATCGTTCGCTTCACTGCACAGTTTTGGGGGAATCGCTCAAACCCTACTTACGAGGGAGAGACCGCTATATTTTTTACACCAAGGATTATTACTAGTATTTGAAAAATGTAAAATTCAAAAAATTTATTTTATTTTCACATTTAATTAAATCTTGGATAAAACATGAGATAATTACCTTGAGTATGACTAATACTCCATGAGTTTCTCAAGTTATGACATAACTAGTTTTATTCCCAAAATAATATTTAAATTTCTAATTTTTAATTAATTTCGTAATTAATAAATAAATTAATTAATTTCATGGACTAATATACCCTTTAGAATATGCCTATAAAAGCCTAATCTTCTACTCATTTTCTTCAACCCTAAGCTCTAGAAAGCCACACACCCGCCTCCAATGACTACCGCACGGCCGCCTGCCGCCGCATAGCTGCCGGAGAGCCATGTACGCCGCCGTCGTTTCAAGCTCTGCGTGCCGCCTCCCAGGCCCTGCCCTTCGTCCGCAACCAGGTGCCGCGTTTTGTCCCAAACCAGCAGCTGCCGCCTTCGTCCCAACTCCCAAACCAGCCGCTGCCGCCCTTCGTCCCAAACCAGCCGCTGCCGCCCTTCATCCCAAACCACCCACTGCCGCCCTTCGTCCCCAATCAGCCGTTGCCGTCGTCTGGCTGCCGGAGAGCCACCATGGTTCCAAGCTCTGCGCGCGCACCTCCCAGGCCCTGCCGTTCGTCCCCGACCAGCCACCGCCTCTCAGGTGCGACGTGCCGCCCTTCGTCCCCGACCAGCTGCCGCCGCCCTTCGTCTACAACCAGTCGCTGCCGCCGTCATCTAACTGCACGGCCGCACACCAACTCGCCGCCTCCACCTAGCCGCACGATTGTCCGCTCCCTGGGTGAAATAGTTGTACTCCAGATCCGCCTCCTTGGAACACTTCCGTAGATGAATACTTCAATTAAAATTAGGTTGGACTTTTTCACATGTGTGCACTACGGATCAGCTACAAACTCAGGCCCACTATTCTCATTTTTTGTCTTTTCTAATTTTGAAAGTTGGAGTTTCTAAAATTAGGGTTTTTGAGCATTAAATATGTGCAGTGAATATGAACACTGAACATAATGTTGTACATGGTACTGAATGAATCCATTAAGTAAGTGTTGTGCATTAATTATGATCGGTATGCAATAACATAGAGCAGTAATTTCGTCATAAAACGCAAAATACTTAATTAGACGTAAAATAATAAAATTATTAAATTTAAAAAAATAAAAAATAAAAACTATAAATAATTTCGTAAAATCAATGAGAAGATAATCAATTTTGGCGGAAGTGAATTGATTATTACCGAATGTGCAGTAATGTTGTTCAGTAATGTTCTGCAGGAATGTTGTGCAATAACGACAATATGAAGTCCTGTAATTATAATTAGATAAAATTAGTGCAAAATGCCCATATTTTAAATAAGAGTATTTTCGTCATTCAAAATTTAAATATAAACGAAATTTTCTTATTTTTTTTGGATTTTTTGTCACACAAACATCTAAAAACTAGTTAGGTCCTAGTTGGGAAACTCGAGTTTTGATCATGCTAAGTAAATTTCCCAATGAAACATACTCCGTGTGCACCAATCCTATAGTTGTTTCCGATAAAATTGGAACCACAGAATAAAGTAAAGATTAGGATGACTGCCAGGAAGATGCGCGCAAATCTATAGCAGTTTTAATTTAAACAAACCCGCATTTAGCAGTTGGCAGGCACGCAATAAATACGGATAATTTCACTGTCTTTAATACTCCCGGTCCTCTGTCACAAGTTTCACAACGGCAGAAGTTCTCTTCAGAAGGAAGAAAATATGAGGCTTGTTATTAGTACCTGTTTGGCAGTTTCTTTGTTTCTTAAGGTTAGACTTTCGCCGGACCTCTGCATACTAGCGGGCTTTAAGTTCCGAATATGGAATTCATCCGCTTGATTCAGTTGAACTACATTCCTAAGTTTTGGTCCCCTTCCCCTCTTTAATCTTTATGGTAGAATTTAGCTCATTTGCGATGTTCTGAATTTATACTCTTTGAATCTCATCTATTTTGAATTACTGCTTTACTTTTTCATTTTTCGCTGAAAATTAATGTGATGCGCTTTGCCAGCTTATTTGGAGTTTTTCAAGTAAACATATCCTCCTTTGCAGGTCTTGCTTAGTGGTTCAACGGTCGCAGCGCATGCGCCAACTTGGTAAGCTTTTCTCCCTAAAAATCTGGTAATACCTTACATCTACTGTTTTTTTTTTGTGGGCCGCTTCTTTTGAAATCATTTAATACAGGAAGAAAAACATTATTTTCTTACAGTTTGCTATGAAGTGAAGGCCAGATATGAATGTACTATTGTAGCTAGAGAATATAGTAAAAAACGTATGCACTTATCGTTACTACAATTGTTATGCATTACAGAAACAGTTTCTTGAGTTTTTTCTTTCTATTTGGTCGCACCTTTTTTCCCTGAGTTTGTTTTTGCCTTTTAGCTATAATATAACTTTGACAGAACAGTTAGCTAAACAAACATCGAGTTCAATCAAACAAGAAATTTGAAGTCCTTTCTTGTTGCTGACTGAACTGCTATGAATTTTTCAATTTTATATTGTTTGTATCTGATTGCCAATTATTCAACATGTTTAGGAAAAAACATGAAAGAGAGGTAACCATTGTAATGTTTGTACTCCGTATTATTGTTTATATGCCTCAAATGACAATCACTCTTCACTTTTAGTTAGTAATTTTCAACTTTAAGCTATAGAGTTAGCCAAACAGACAATCCTGCTTAAGCTAAGAATGGATGACGGCTGAGAGTACTATTTTACAAGTTCAAGCCCTTAGTTACTGAATGAATTGGTAAAGCTGCAAAGTTTGTATTTTCGTATGCCCATTTTCATATTAGCCCATATGGTTAGGCAAAGGCATTCAGAAGGATACTGCGCCATGTATGGCATATGTGGAAAACGTGTGGATGGGAAAATGCTGAATTGCCCCTTTGGTTCCCAATCTATTAGGGTAAGTACTGCTGCATAGGCATTGGTGATTGCACACTCCTGTGATATTTTTTTTTTGTTTCCTTGTTTGGATTGAAACTCCTCTATGTGAATGATTTTGTTATAACCTTACAGCCAGATAAGTTGCTTTCATCTAAGGTTCAAAGTTTGTGCCCAACAATTACTGGAAATGTATGCTGTGCAGAGGCTCAATTTGAAATTTTAAGATCTCAAGTCCAGCAAGTAATCTGACTATGATTTGTTCCAGTTTTATATTTGATTCACTGCAGTATTTTTATTCACTTTTACAAGCATGTGCAGGCAATCCCGTTTCTTGTAGGCTGTCCAGCATGCCTGAGAAATTTTTTAAATCTATTCTGTGAACTTTCATGTTCTCCAAACCAGAGTCAATTTATAAATGTGACATCTGTTTCAAAGGTAGCAGTCACATCAGTTTTCATTCATTTAATAATATTTTTGGCTCAACTTACAATTGATTACTTTTTCCTATAATTGTTTGTGTTATACTCCGTATTAGTTTAAGGGGAATGGAAGCCTTGGAGCACTAGTTAAGGTGTTGCTGTGAGATTGAGAGGTCACATGTTCAAGTCTTAAGAGCTACCTCTTATAAAAAATTTGACAAGGGAACCCCCCCTATACACCCTTGTGGTGGGACCTTTCTTCGGACCCTGGCCTTTTGGGGACTCCAATGTGCAATGACCTGGCCCTTTTAATACTAAAGGAGAGCCATGGGCTCTTCTACTGCCATGTGACTTGGAGGGCATGGATTCGAGCTATAGTATCGCTTTATAGAAGTATAGAAGCCTTATGCCTCATAATGTTTTCTTTTGGACTGTTTTTAGTCCCAGAGCAGACTTAAGCATTCTAGAGCAGACTTAAACAGACCAGACCAGACTTGGACAGTTATAAAATACATAGAGACCAGACATTTGCCAGACTAGTGCAGACCAGACTTAAACATACCAGATCAGACCAGACCAGACCAGCAAATTACAGTCCAAAAGAAAACATCCTCAGCCCTTCCCAGACCTTGAATATGTGGGAGCTTCTATACACTACACCACAATTATTTATATGTCTTAAATCAGCCTATCACGCATAATGGCTTAATATCTACATTCTTATGAGTTCCCTAAGCTTCTAATCCTTTTATATTAGCTAAAATCAATTGTGATAAAACTGTAATTGAGCATTACTTGTCAAATATCACTAGCTGCCTATCGAATTTTGACAAAACTACCATGATTTCTTTGTTACATTCAGGTTAACAAAAACATGACTGTAGATGGTATTGATTTTTTTATAACTGACACTTTCGGGGAGGAGTTATTTGAATCATGCAAGGAGGTAAAGTTTGGGACTATGAATACCCGAGCAATTGACTTCATTGGTGCAGGGGCTAAAAATTTTAGAGGTTAAACTCTTTCTCCCTCCCATTTAGCTTGAATGGAAGTATGAAAAGCATTTTCTTCTGCATGTGTATGAGTTGAACTGTATCTACACTCTATATAGCAAACAATTAATGGGATCCTGATGTGAGTATTTGCGCTTAACAGAGTGGTATGCATTTATTGGTAGAAGAGCTGCACTTGGCTTGCCAGGATCTCCATATGCCATAAATTTTACATCAACTGCTCCTGAATCTTCTGGAATGAAAGCTATGAATGTGTCCGCGTATTCCTGTGGCGACAATTCATTGGGCTGTTCTTGTGGTGATTGTCCTTCGGCTTCTGCATGCTCAAGTTCAGCCCCTCCGCCTGCTGTGAAGAAAGAGTCTTGCTCTATTAGAATAGGTTTTCTCAAGGTGAGACAAAGCCAATTATAGCTTGTCAATTTATTTGTTTATTTCTACGATTGGGTAATTTTCATACATGTATTATGAACATAGCTGGGATCTCGTCTCTTGTCTAGGGGAAACAAACTAAAGGGATGAAGAATGAAAGAGAGTATTTGACATCTACCCTTAATGCAGAATTATTCCATGCTTGACCTAGTCAAGACACACACACACAAGATTAGTTCTCCTAAAAAGTAGTTCATAAATCAATCTTATGTCTCCGGATGTAGCTTTTGTAAGAGCCCTAATCATAATAGGAAACGTAAAATTAAGGTTAATGAGAAGTTGACTAAAACTGGGTAAGGAATAAACGGATATAATATCATTACGAAACTAATAGTAATACTAATATTAATAAAAGGAAGTTAATAATGATATATGATGATAATAATTATGCAATAGGAAAATTCGTTCCAAAATACTTCTCCGCATTTCTTTTGCGTGTCCTTAATATGACACAGTTCACATAAACATGATGGTTTCTAGATGGGGGACAAGGTTTTTTTACGTAGGAAATCAAATGTTTTCTCTTCCTGTTCAATTACACCCAGTCACCAATCATGTAAATCTGTCACAGTAACTGGTTCAGTTAATGCAGGCAAAGTGTATTGAAGTTTCTGCAGCAATAACTTATATCGTCCTGGTCTCCTTTTTTCTTGGATGGGGTTTTCTTCAAAGGAGAAAAGAAAGAAGTTCAGCTTCCAGGACAAAGTCATTGATAAGTGCTCCTGATACGGGTGTCATCCGCCAAATTAACAAGAAAAAAGACAAGAATGTGCCAACACAGGTACCTGCCATATGGTGAATATATCAATAGATGCACAGTTTTTCTCCCCTTTCTCCACATTAGCGAGAATCCCCGACGGCGCGTGCAGCTCACGTGCGTCAGTTTAGATGAGCGGATTTCGAGTGTCTGGTCACCAGCGGAAGGCGCACCAGTGTAGGGTGGAGGTGAGGTAGGTTATGGGCTGAGGTTCTGAAGTTTAGTGTTGGCTGATGTTCTAAACTGAGGATCTGATAGAAAACAAAAAAAATATTGAAACTAAGTTGAAATGGAATATATGTACTCTGATACCATGTAAACCGAATTAAGCTAGAATATTAGTGAGAAGAGAATGATTTCCAGTGTATTTCATTGAAGGGTGATTATACATTACAAAGATAGAGTATTCCTATAAGATTCTATACAACAATAATATCTTAGAGTATATCCCTAAAATATTCTATAACATATTCTAGTATATTTCACAATGCTTATTGATTATACTTTTAGCCTGATTTCATGGTTTAAGTTTTCAAGTATGAAGCTTGAAGCAACAATTATATTAATTAACCAATCTTTATGTGAAAAAACATTAAGAGTTGTGCATTTATTTTTTGAAAGAGTACTCTATTAGACATGTCCTCTAATCATGTGCATGAAGTGGCTACATATCCATGAGTTCTTTTTATTTTTATTTTATTTTTATTTTATTTTATTTTATTTTTACTCCAGGGGGTCTGGGGGAGGGGGGCTAGGGGGAGCCTGGAGTAGGGGTGCAAATGAGCCGAGCCGCTCGTGAGCTGCTCGTGAGCTGCTCGGTCAAAGCTCGGATCGAATTCGGTCAAAATCGAGCTCGACCCGAGCTCGAGCCGGCTCGTTAAGTAGTCGAGCCTTATACGAGCCTATCAATTTTAGGCTCGTTGGCTCGCGAGCCGGCTCGCGAGCCTAGTTTAATATATATAATATATATTAATATATATGTATAATACAAATTAGTTAATGTACTGAGAGATAGGACGTATTACGTAGTATTAACTATTAAGTATTAATATACTCCGTATTATATTACTCCATACTCCGTATAAAGTAACTTAACATAAAAAAAACATCTAAGTTTATTCCACTATTTCAATTTCTCTTACCCCGCTTGTATCTCAGTCTAATTGAACCTGTCACTTTTGTAGCTGATGAACAAAAACCATCGAGCCTATCGAGTTGAATCGAGCTATCTAATAATTTACGAGTCGAGCTCGAGCCTCGATTTTTTAAGCTCGTTCGAGCCGAGCTCGAGCTCGAGCCAATATAATATATTTCGAGCTCGAGCTCGAGCCTATATAGATTCGGGCTCGGCTCGGCTCGGCTCGTTTGCACCCCTAGCCTGGAGTAATGAGGGCCAAAACTCACTCCATTGAGTTTCAAACCCTTATGTGCCTAGCGGGTTTCGAACTCGAGACCTCCCACTAGGCACGGTAACCTCACAACCAGCTGGGCTGGAATGCTTGGTTACATACCCATGAGTTCATTTTGTGATAGCTAACTAAATTCTAGGAGCATGTTTTCACATCGTTATCTAGAAATATGATGTTATGAGATAAATATGACACATCTCTCCATCTCTTGTTCTTCCTTAATTTATTAGATGTTCGAAGATGCACCACATATTTCAAGTAACGTTCAACTTTCAATCGTGCAACGGTACTTGTCAAGTTTTTTCAGGTGACCGCATATTGTATGTTTAATATCTATAAACCTATTTGTTATTTTATCTGTTATAATTCCTTTTGCTGTAACAAGAGAATATTTATTTAATTCTAAAAGATTTGTTTCTATTATGATTTGATTCCATAGGATCAATTAGGAGATTGAATAGATCTTCTTATTTCTTTAATTAGGTTTAGCCTATAAAAAATATCAGTTGCGTTTTACTTCTGACTTAATAAAAATTCTACCTTTGAAGTTGGTATTGGAGCCATTCAATTCTGCAGGCTCTTTTTCTGCACTTGACAAAAAAACCTAGCCGTTCTTATTACGACTTGTTTTTCCTAGTCACATTGCCATGTCCACTTCACTCTCTTGGTCACCATTTCTTCCATCGTCAAGATCTTTTTTAGCCACCATGTCTCTTCCACCATTTCAAGGGTCGTACCAGTTGGAAAAATACAACTACCTTTAGTGGGCTCTACTTATTTGGACCACTCTTAGAGGACGCAAGAGAATTAGTCACATTGAAGGAGGAACCCTTGTAATGACGATTCAACATATGGCACATGGGTTGATGAGTATTCTCTTATAATGACATGGTTTTGACTTTTGACACTATGAGTCCAAAGATTAGTCGAAATTATATGTTTTTCCCTACTGCTCAAGAGATCTGCAAGAACTTGGCAGAGACGTATTCTATGAAACATGATCTCTCAACCCTGTCATGAAGTGGAGAATAAGGTTTTCAATTCCAAGCAAGGAAATCTGTTATAATATTGCCAAAATTGACTAGCACGTAAAATAATAAAGTAAAAGCTGTGTGGTTGAGGTTTGTGCAGAGGAGATAATTAACAAGAACCACAAATTCTTTATTTAAAAGGAAAACGGCAAAGTTAGCGGAACAACTAAAAAATGAAAATTCGCAAAGTTATAAGGGATGGAGGGAGTAATGATTAGTATTCTGTCTTAATTATTGAGTTAATATTAAGAGACTCAATAACATATTTTACTCGGTTTTTCGTTAACAGCCATGTTTTACTCTGGTTGGGTCAAGCTAAGTAATATCTGTATAAAACACAGAACTGCGTAATATATTTAAAGTTAAGAACTTAAGATACTTGAAAACCACAAACCAGAGTACATATATTCAAGTACTATGAGTATTATATACTACGTACATACTAATATACTAATACACAATATTATTACTTTATCACACATTTACACTAATATTTAGACACTAGTGTAATGTAAGTATTTGGATGAAGAGGACGGCATGAAAAAGAAGACATACCTTGTTTAGTGCTGCGAGGGAGAGCTAAGTTTGCTTGAGAAGTTGAGATGATGAAGAAAGATGAAAGATCTGGCTGGTGTAGAGCAGCTTGAGTGTCGAGTGAGGAGAGAGGAGAGTGAAGAGCAAGGATGGCTAGCGATGATAGTTATAGTGTCTCGCACAAGTTTTACGTTTTTACGTACTTGGACTCTTAGTTTTACGTAGGTTTTACCCTATTGTTTTCATGGGCTGAGTGTTATATTAAAGATATGGGCTAATTGTTTTTGAAGACAGTAACGAATGCAGAAAACAAAAGAAACTCGCACCCAATCCTCAAATGGGTTCACAATCTTGGTTTTCCTCCTAGATATGGCTTCAACATAGGCATCTTGGTTATCCTCCTTTTAGTGTCCTTAAGTTGTTATGTCCTTTTTTTTGTTTACAACGTATCAGTTGAATTATTTAATTGTGGTGTCTATCAATTTGCTAAACATCACCGAACAATTTTTCTTCCTAGTAATAGTAAATGTTCAAAAACTTTTGATCTTGTTCATTCGGATGTGTTGGGACCTACATCTACCTCTAATATTTCTGGTGTCAAGTGGTTTGTTGATAGGGACCTGGACACTCCCCCTAACAAGAATAATATTAGGTATTTTAATATTGCATAATAAAAGGGTTATAGGCTCATACTTAGTGGTGGAGGACCGGCCTTTTAGGAGAGTATTATAATAATGTGTCGATATGGGGGAAAGGAGGGAGGGCAGAACTTGGCTTGGGCTAGGAACTGGGAGAGTGAGGCCTCTCGAAGAGCCTCGATCTGTATTTTCTTCTCTTTCTTTACTGTTTTCTGTGAGGATCAGTTTCTATCATTGATTTCCTCTCCAAAGGTCCTCCCTTAGAACAACTTCAAGATCTTACGTGCAAGTTGAGAATGATAAATATCCACTCACTATCTTGAGGGGGAATGTTTTAATAATAGAATATTAAGTTAATTATAAGAGGTTTGTTTTTATTTTGATTTAATTCCGTACTACTACTATCAATTAGATGTTTTGTACATATTTTCTTATTTTCTTAATTAAGGTAGTTTTAGCTTATAAAAACAATATGTTGTATTTTATTTTTCGCGTTTAAACCTTTTATGCAGTTCGTGAAGACCCAAAATTCATCTACTAACTCTAAATTATACTACGTACATGAGTACATCACAAAAGACTGAGTGGTAAATAATTTGATTCAAGTCTTGTTGGATGACACATAAATGGGATGGAGCCCGGAGGGACGAAGGGAGTATTAAGGAACTAAGATACAACAACATCTAACAACATTCACGCCTTAGTCTAAAAAAAATATGGGGTCGGCTAACATGAATCAATATATGAAATCGATATATCAAGAAATTAAGATAGCACTTTGTATAAGCCTTTATTCCCTAAAGTATGACGTAATTGTTGTCTAGCAGGGTATATGGAACATGGGTGGCAAGGCATCCCTTATGTGTTCTATGCTCATCTTTGGCTATTGTTCTGGTACTTTGTTTGGGATTGCTTCATTTTAAAGTTGAAACAAGACCTGAGAAGGTATGTCACAATCAAGTATTTTGGTATGACTAAATTTCTACACATTATATTATATTTCTCTTGATAAGGTGAGTAGATGCGTCTTTTTTGTTGTTGAAGAAAACAAGTTTAATTATCATTAATTAAATCATTGTGCAATACATGAGTAATAAAATTAGGAGGAACATCAATCCAAGAACGACAATCAGACGTAGAACACGCAGCTTGAGCGAGCTCATGAGCTACCATGTTTGCAGATCGTCTAACATGACCAAAGGAAACATTCAACATCCTTGAGCTAATATCACGTATGTCTTCCGCTACCATGCCTGCTGCAGAAACACTCGAACCGCTTTGAATCTCCGCCACTGCTCTTAAAGCATCCGATTCCACATCAATAAAATCCCACCCTTTCTCCTTTGCCCAACTGAGTGCCTCCCTAATGCCAATCAATTCAGCTTCCCAGGGCGATAGAACCCCCTGCCACGCCTTTGTTGCAGCCGCTAGGAACTCTCCATTTTCATTCCGAAGAACCCAGCCCCACCCACACATATGAGAACGAACAGCGGCATCAATGTTCAGCTTTACCCGCCCTGCATTTGGTCTGCTCCAGCTTGTCCGTGCCTTCCTCCTGCTGCCTTCACGTGAACCAGCTGCAATTTGAGCATTTTCCCATCCTGTAACAAAAATTTTAGTTTTTAACAAAATATATTTCGGATCCCTCCGAACCCCATTCCATACTCTATTTCTTTCACCCCACAGCCCCCAGAACCCCCAAACCATCTTGTGCAATTCCTTCTCCGTTCGTGTCTGGAATTCTGCCTTCACCACCCCCAAGAGATCATCGTCTGAGCAGCTCGCCCAAGCCCAACCAATCTCCTTCCATGCCTCTTTTGAAATCGGGCACTTGACAAAAAGATGGCTCGACGACTCTACTTCCTCTCCACACAGCCCACATTCCACGACACAGTCCACCCTCGGGACCTCAAATTCACCCTCGTCGGCAATAGCCCGCAGCAGAGCTGCCAAAAGAAAAGTTTAATCTTTGGAGGCAACTTCCACCTCCAAACAGAAGTCCAACCAAGCCAACTCGGAGAGTTAAACTCTCCAACCAACTGCCGGTAACAGCTACGAACAGAGAAATGTCCGTTTGATTCCCATCTCCAGCAAATTTTATCCGGAATAGACCGATAACTAATAGGAATGCTTTGAATTAATTGAACATCCCTGGACTCGAATAAATCACTAAGAATATCCCTGTCCCACTCTTTCCCTGATTCGCACAAGAGATTCCTAACACACGCCTCATGAAGACCTTCAACCAGGGATGTAATAACCATTGGCTGATTCGGGTCAGGTAACCACGGGTCAGTCCAAATGTTAATATCACTCCCACGGCCTACTCTCCAGAAATAGCTCTTTTTTATAATATTCTGAGTTTGAAAAATACTTTGCCACACGAAAGAGGGGTTGTGACCAATTTTAGCAGTCAAGAAATTCCCACCAGGGTAATACCGGGACTTGAACACCTTCCCCACAAGGGACTCGGGATTAGTAAAGATCCTCCACGCCTGTTTAGCTAACATTGATAAGTTAAACTCACGGATTTTTTTAAAGCCCATACCCCCAACTTTCTTTGGTTTACACAAAAAAATCCCAGTTCCTCCATCTAATCCCCTTCCCTGATTTTCCACTCCACCAAAACCCATTCATTAGGACTTCAATTTCCCGACATAATTCCTTAGGCAAAAGAAAAACGTTCATTGCAAAGGTCGGCATAGCCCGGATTACCGATTTCAATAAAATCTCTCTTCCAGCCCTGGATAAAAAACGGTTATTCCAGTTCTGAATACGACTAACCATTCGATGTCTCAAGTAAGATAAAATAGACTTCTTATTTCTTCCCACCAGAGCCGGCAACCCCAAATACCTCTCATCATTGCCTGCTAAACCCACCCCCAGTAAATCAACCAATCCTTCTCTACATTCAGCAGACACGTTGGAACTAAAAAAGATTTTTGATTTATTAAGATTAATCACCTGTCCAGAAGCTAACTCATAGTCGTGCAACATCTCTTTCACAAGAGATGCTTCCCCGTGCGTTGCTCTAAAAAATAACAGACTGTCATCTGCAAAAAGTAGATGAGATATCCTCGGAGCCCCCCGAGCAACCGCAACACCATGCAGACGGCCTGCGGATTCGTGCCCCCTCAAAAGAGCACTCAACCCTTCCGCCACTAGAAGGAATAAATAGGGTGATAACGGATCACCCTGCCTTAACCCCCTAGTAGGTAAAATAGGCCCTAACTCCATCTCATCAAAAGGGATAGAGTAAGAAACAGATCGCACACACTCCGACACCATATTAACCCATCTTTCAGCAAACCCAATTTGTCTCATCATTCCTTCTAAAAAAGACCACTCTACCCTGTCATAAGCCTTACTCATATCCAGTTTAAGACTTACAAACCCCGTTTTACCCTGAGATTTCCGGTGCAAAAAATGTTGTGATTCGAAAGCGAGCATAATATTATCAACAATAGACCTACCCGGAATGAACGCACTCTGGTTCTCAGAAATACATAAATGAAGCAAGGGCTTCAGTCTGTTAGCTAACACTTTCGAAAAAATCTTATACACAACATTGCACAAAGAAATAGGTCTCCAATCATTCAAAGACTCGGGGCAATCCTTTTTTGGAATTAATACAATAGTATGATTAATGTTACTTGGTAGTTTACCTGATTCGAAAGCCTCTGCACAGAACTTAATAACATCAGGTCCCACCACATCCCAATAATGCTGGAAAAACCCCGGGCTCATGCCATCCGGCCCAGGAGCTTTATCAGGGTACATAGCTAACACCGCTGCTCTAACCTCCTCTCCTCGAATAGGCCGTAGCAGCTCCACATTATGATGGTCACTAATTTTACGGTGAACAAAATGAAATACATAATCACTGCTACTCTGCACAGAAGAAAACAAATTAGCAAAATAGTCCCCAATCATCCTGCCAATCTCTGGTCTCTCCCTCTCCCAACCCCCTCCTTCCACCCGAATCCCCTCAATCCTATTCTTCCTCCTACGCTGTTTCACTGAGTTATGAAAAAATCGAGTATTCAGATCCCCCTCCTTGAACCAAAATTCTTTTGCCCTCTGACGCCAAAAAATGTTCTCCTGCTCAAGAAGATCAAGATATTCGCCTTTAGCTCTCTGAAACGCCGCCAGGCTCCTCTCATCGGTCTTTCTCCTCAGGAACTCTAACCTCCTCCTACAAAAGCCAATTCTTTTGCCAAGAGACCCATTCTTCCTCTTCCCCCACTCCCCCACAGTTTTTCCACACACCTCAATCTGCCCAACAATCCCCCTTTGAGATCCCAGCCTCCAGCTTCTAGCAACCAAATTCCTACAATCCTCATCCTGAAGCCAAAGATTCTCAAATTTAAATTTACTCCGCCTATGATATTGTTGAGAAGGAAAAAGCCTGATGAATAATGCTAAATGATCACTAGGCGCCCCCTCCACCGATTCTGCTACTGCCTCCCCGAAAATGTCCAGCCACTCTTCAGAAACGAGAATTCTATCCAGTTTTTCCTCCACCCAAGCCGGGGACCCCCTCCACCTTTCCCAAGTAAACTGATAACCCTGGAACGGGAAATTTTGCAAGCCGCAATCTTAAACTGTCTCCCGAAATCCCCTCAAGAGCCACGGAGGGTGCGGAATCCTACCCCGCTTATCGGACGCCACCATAAGGTCATTAAAATCACCCATGACGATCCATGGGAGATTATGCCCTAAACTCAAAGACTTCAAAAGTGCCCAAGATTCTCTCCTCCTGTTTCTTTCCGGACACCCATAAAAGCCAGTAAATCGCCACAAAGGTTCTTGTGCTTCCAAACGAACACATGCATCAATAAAATGGGAAGAAGAAGCTCCTATATCAACTTGAACTCCCTCCCCCCATATTAGGAAGATTGTACTAAGTCCAAATATTGTAAATAGCCTAGTCTTTGTACTGAATACTCGGTTAGTGGTTAGCAGTTTGTTAGAGTCAACTGATCAGTCTATTGATCAGTTTGTTAGACTCATTAGTCTATAAATACTTGTATCATTCCCTTAATTGAATAAGATTGATTTTCCTCTTTCTATCATGGTATCAGAGCACTGACTCGTTCCTCCATGACGAACTCAGACTCGAATTCCGTTTCTTCCAAAACTTCTAGTAATACCCCAACTCCGATCACATTCAATCATCCCTTACCTATCAAGCTTGATTCAAACAATTTCCTCCTATGGAAACATCACGTTCGTTCTGTAATTCGTGCTCACAAGCTTCTTAAATTTGTTGAGAAGCCTGAGATTCCTGAGAAATTCATCGCCGATGAGGAAGCAGGTACGAAAATCGAGAACGATGCCTACGCAACTTGGGAACAACAAGATCAGATGCTATTTTCGTGGCTTTTGGCATCGCTCTCTGAATCTCTTCATACACGAGTCATTCACTGTCAACACTCATACCAACTATGGAATGAAATCGATAAATTCTTTCAGGCGAATATTGTTGCCAGAGCTAGACAGCTCAAATCTGAGCTCTACTCTACCGGGAAGGGTGATCGCTCGATCACAGAATATCTTCTTCGAATTCAGAATATTGTTGACAGCTTGATGAACATTGGTGAGCCTATATCAACCAAGGACCATATCAATGTTATCCTGGAAGGACTTCCGGAGGAGTATGAATCGCTTGTCTCTTCTGTGGCTTCTCGAAGCATCTTGGATCCAGTAACTCTTACAAAGCTTGAGTCGCTGTTACTGGCAAAGGAGTTACGACAAAAGAAGTTACGTGAATCTTCACAAACACTTTTTTCTGCTAATTTGGCTCGCGCGGAAGTTCCGACTCCAAACACTGAACCTGTTTCTTCACAAATTTCAGAAAATTCCTTTGCAAATATTGCTCAATTTCAAAATCAGATGTCTGCTCGTCCCTACAGGGGACGTGGTCGCGGAGGCAACACCAGAGG